AAAACTTAGAATTATACTGAACATATGTAACGCGAGTATTCCTTTAACGCAACAACTTTGGTTAATGAAGAGCTTTTTTTGTAGTTTATTTGCAGCTTTCTCTTTATTAGCTAGTGTAGAGTTTTTTCTATTGTTGTTGTTCTTGTTCCTTTTATCTACTTTCTATGGTAAATGGAATGGAGTTTTTGTTCCCTAAAGCCGTTTGTTTCAAAACTACTTGACAATGACATGTTTAGAAGTTGTTATTGTCTTTTTCGCGTCTTCTCCATTGTAAAGCATGACAATAGTAAATATCATGCATGGAAAGTAATCCAGACGAGTGTGTACCAGTTGATTCGTTTTTAAAAGGCTCTATTACCGCTAAAAAATTAAATGATTTATTAAATTTTATACAACATTTTAAATTGGATGCCTTTTAAATTTAAATATTTTCGAGAAAAGAGGAAAACTGGGTTACGAAGTCCGTGTATTTAAAAAAATAATTTATTAAATTATACAGAAAATTTAATATTGGGCGCTATATTTCATATTAATTAATTACAAATTCAAAATTTTCGAAAATAACCGGGAAAACAAGGGACTATGAAAGAGTAGCAAAAAAATGGAAGGCACCTGTTGGTGTTATGAAATTTTACTAATTTAAATTTATCAAAAATTACCAAGTAAAAATACTGTCTTAAAATAAAAGACACGTGTATAGTCATTTCAAAAGTTTACGTCGGGAGTTAACCTAAAAAAGAAAATTTAATATTGGGCGCCACATTTCATAGTTGATTACACTGTGCAGAAAAATATGGGTTTAAGAGACTCTATTACCACTTAAAAATATATATTAAATGATATATAGATACATTAATATTGGGCGCAATATTTTAAATTTAACATTTTTCGAAAAAAAAGGAAAAAACAACTGATTATATAAGCGGGGGTTAAAAATGAAAGACACGTGTATCTTCAAAAAAAAAAAAACTACCAGGGAATAAGTGGCAAATGTGATACTTGAATCGGCGTTTCGAAAGTTTACATCGGGGAGGTAACCTGAAAAGAAAATTTAAAATTGGGCGCCACATTTCATTTTTTACAATGTGTAAAAAATGGTTCAGAGTTTTTTTAATACGTTTTGTAATGTGGTATTATTTAAATCGACCGGGCCTCATCGTTTTCGGCGGAACATGGATAAAGTTGAAAATGAAATAAAAAAACTTAGCAAAAGTCACGTCCAGTTGTCTTTCAATATTTATATGTAGCCCATGTACCCGGAATCTTTACTAAAACACCTGGCCACTATGAAAGAGAAATATGAAAGGATCCGTCATCATATGCAAGGGTAGTCCAAAGAGACAAGAAAAAAATACAAAAAAAAACCCATGGTGTGGAGAGAACAGATCAAAACAAGGTTCGAAAAAAGAAACGTTGAACATTTTTTTCTCTGAATGTAAAATTACATCAACTTCAAGGGGATATGCGGCTAAAACCTTCAAAATAGTGGAAATGATACCGTGACCCATATTATTGGTTGGAGGTGTTTAAGGTCAATATTTCGATCTGTATAGGAAATTTTCTCCAATTTAACTACAGTCATTTCTGAAAATGTGGCTAAAACTTCTAAAATTGTAACGATTCAATTGTCCACCGAATTGCTGGGGCAAGCTGCCGGTGGCCAGAGTCCGTCACAGCACTGGTGTGGTCTTTAGGCGTAGCGGCTTAGGACAACTTACTGCCGCCCACTGCAGAGAAACCGTTCCTTGGACGACTGGGGCCTGGGGAGACCTGGTGTTCTAGTGGCTTACGACAACTCACTAGAGGTACGTCGAACGTCCTATATGTGGCTTCTCCATGAACGGTGGCAATATCAAAACACCAATTGTTTCGTGTGTGGGGTCGGTGGTTTCAGTGGCCAAGGGAAGCTCACTCTACAATCAGTCTTCTTCACTTCTTGTCTATTACTTGACTCACCTGTTGAAAGGTCTTAGGGTATTTTATCGTCTGGTCCTTGTGATGATAGCTCTTCTCTCACGACTGTCCCAGCAGTATTCGTCGTTCGCCCTTTTATAGGACCGTCGTCACAACTTTCTGGATCACGCTGTTGTTGTGCGTTAACCCTTGTCGACGTATTGCAGTCTCGACGCACGCGCGTTGTTTTTTGTTACCGATGACTCGTGCGAATACCTTGACGTGCGTTATTGTTGCTAGTTGTTTACCAACAAGCAACGCATCAGAACCCCTTACCGTGTGTTTTGTTGCTAGTTGCTTACAACCAAGTAACACATCGGAACCCCTTACCGTCTGTTTTGTTGCTTGTTAATTACAACTCAGCAAACGAGTCAACGCTCTTTGACGTGCATTTTGTTTCTGGATGTTTACATATTGAACGGTAGGTTGTTTTGACGCCTAAATCGTAACCAACTTCGCACGGAATTCGAAACAACTTGTTGTGAGAATTCAGATTTTTTTATTAATTCCTTAAATTACATTCAAATATTTATTAAATTGACCGCCAATAAGCGATATATCTATATACAAGAGTACTCGGGTGTAGCCGGAAACGAGCCTGCGAATACCGACATCACAAAATAAAGGGGATATGCCAAAATATGGACATATATGGAAAATTGTCTGTAAATGTGTTTTTCGCCCTCATAGCACCTGAAGGGCCAAACTCCGTTTGAAGTCTGTGTCTAAATCTTCAAAATATAGAAATTAGTTCGGTACAGTTAAATGGACCCTATCGATGTATTCTCCCGAGATGTTAAGTCCCCTCCGAAACTGGGTTTGCCAAATTACAGCCACTTCGATTGTAAAATGCAGCGAAAACATTCAAAATAAGACAGGATCCTCATAAGGGAGCTATGCCAAAATATGTTCTGTAAAGATTTTTTTGCCCTTCACAAAACAGAAATGTTTAATTACAGCCACTTTGATTGGAAAATACACCTAAAACCTTAAAAATACATTAATTGGGACTGAAACATTGTATGGGGTTTATGTCAGAATAAATATTTTATACTTTATTTAAATTAAGGAATTTCTTACCAAGTTTAATTCATGTCAGTTCTTTAAATACATTATACACGTAACACGTCTTCGTCACATTAGTCTGATCATTTTAGCCGCCAAAACCACAATCATTACATATGAAACACACTATTATCGATATTAAAGAACACTATTATCGATGCACTGCATTATCGACAATTGAACATAACGGATTTTACATACTGTAGCTGTGTTCCCAAACCTACAATATAGTACTATATTGTACTAGTTTTGCAATTTTTGCTAGAAAAGCGTTTCCTTACACCGAAAAGTAGGAAAAATTGAAGTTAAATTTAAGAGAGTTAAAACCAAAATTGCGTTCTCTTCTCCTATTTTCTGCAAGATCAATTTGGCCTAGCACGAAATAGTAAATGTAGTAAATTATGAATTTGACATTTGATTACCAGAGATATACAGTCCGAAATAAAAAGCATATGAAAGTTAGCGCTTCAACAAAAGGGACACACGCACAGACACACACATTTGCTTGAAAAAAAAAACAAATAAGAAATTTAAAAATTGACAAACAGATTTTTTTCTCTTTTGGAGGATAGCGAAGATGAATGGCTGGTAGAAGTTTCAGATGAAGATACTATAGACTGAAGACTTGGGTTGGGTTGGTTAATCGTACTAACCAATGTGTGTACATTGGTCCAAAGTCAAGTTTAGGGGCTCCACTCGTGTGAATAAATGAGAATGTCCCAGCTCAAAAGGCATATAAAAGCCACGAATCCGATGGAAATATCAAGTAGAAAGCAACATTTTGGAACGTGGTCTTTCCAATTGGTAAGTTATGTCAAATGAACATAACAACGTGTATGTTTCATATTTGACATAAGAAGCCACTACCTACATAGTTGTTTTTTTTTCTTATTACCTAATGTTGTCATACCTTGTGTTATTGTACTATGGCCAAACCACAAAATGAATTCGATTGACTTGGGCAAAGTGAACTTGTTGAACTCAATCAATCAAATAAACACATGAAATGAAAATCGTTCCAATGGTTCATTTCATAGAGTCATTCCTTTGAACTCGTTAGTTCATTCCACAGAGCGACACAGTAATCGGTCGGCCATCTCTGTCTCATGCAATTTCCATCACACCTCATTCGTAAATATTTCCCAGTACGCTTTAAGTTCCTTCTTTATTGGTCATTCTTTCATTTCTCTTCCTAGTTGTCAGTTGGAACGTTTTTAATTGGGGATTGGTGTGAAAGGCAAGCAAAGACGGAGAATAGAACCAGTCTATAGGCAAAAACTCATAGCAAAAAAAGAAAGCAGCCATCAATAAAAACAGCAAAAAAGTCAAATTTCCACAAAAGAAAGACAGAAAACAGGAAAAAATATGTTTAAACTTGTCCAAAAGCAAAGGAAACAAAGCAATGTTCTTCTTGATTAACTCGTTTGCAAGGTGTAACATAACGCGGCCAGTATTACAACAAAGTTTTCAATTTCAGTTTTCTTTCGACTAATAGAAAGAAGAAAAAAAACAAAGTGAAAAGTGAGGTGATTGATTTGCTGGTGACGGAAAAAAGGCAAGGAAAAGCGAAAAAACAGAAACAATTTTTTATTGCATGAGCAAATCCAGCAGCAACAACAACATTTGTAGTGGCAAAAAGGCAACAACAACACCAGCAGCAGCAATAATAGTTCCCGTCCAAAAACGAAAGACGGACGGACGGACGTATGTAACAAAACAATTGTGGTGTAGTGTTGTTGTTTTTGTTGGTGTGGAGAGTGTGTCGGTGTGTGTGCGTTTGCTTTTGAATGTAAGGTGAAGACGACGAAGAAAAAGCAACACTAAACGACATCCAGAATTAAACCAAAAACCATACCATCATCATCGCCATCATTGTCTCGTCGCCGTCGTTGTCTCAGCCATCGTCCATTGTGCGGTGGACAGACGGACAGACCGACCGAAAGTGCTAAGTAGGGCTTAAACGGCTTTCACAACACAAGAAAATGTGTTGTGTGGACAACACAACACTGAAACTGGACGACACGACGGACGAAGAAGATCGAGCCAAATATTATAGAACCCGCCGTCATCACAGCAGCAATAGTTCCGCAACAGCAATACAACAACAACAATGTTGTTATGTACTGCACACAGAACAGCAGCAAGAGCCGCAACAGCAGCAACATTCACAACAGCAGCAGCAACACCATCAGTATATTCCAGCCTCAACGGCCCGTACATTTAATAGCAAATATCGTCGAAAATATCTTCTGCTGCTGATATGCGTCCTATTCCACATCTGTTCGAGCAGTTTGGCCCGTGTCACAGCCTATAATTGTACCGCCGCAGGGGGTTGTCAAAATAATGGTAGCTGTCGTGATGGCCAGTGTATCTGTGCCGATGGCTGGCAAGGTCCAGAATGCCAATTTTGCGGTGGTAAAGTAAGGTAGGTGGGATGGTATTGAATTAACTTAAAATTTTAGTATCTTCTTGTTGTTCTTCTTCTTTTTCTATTTTAGGTAAAAAAGGGTGATAATTTTGAAACGAAAAAATTGATAAATGAAATCTTTTTTATGATTCATGCTACTTAAAACAAATTATTAGAGAATGAGAGGCGAAGGGATTGACGAACTGACTAACTAATCTAAAATAGGTTAGAACGTTAACTACGCACACACGCACATCCATATGCGGTTCGTTGGTTGGTCGATTGTTTGGTCTTCTTAATTGTTTACCAATAATTATTAGAGAGCTGTCGGAGGGAAATTTGTTTTCTTTTCATTGATGATGATGATGAGAACGATTTATTGATTGATGTTGAACTAGATTTTGTGGTACTTCGTCAGTGGTTTGAGTTAACGTTTTCTAATTGAAAACAGTAGCTGAAAATATTAGAAATGTAAACTCCATGACTACTATTCGTAATATATTCTTTTGATGGACTTAAACATGGGTACTTTCCCGACAGCTACAATACGTCTTCATCTCGGTCAAGAATTGCCAACTCAGCTAACACATTGTTTTCAGTATAATTCCAGTCAAGGGTAATATTCTGACCATTTCTTATGATCAAAAATATTACTCGTCGTAAAAATTGGGCTCCATGGTTCCTTTCACCGCCATGGTTCTTTTTAAATGACTATCGAAGTACTTCCGTGTAACACTCTGGTACAGAGTATAATCAGGCTTTCAATGCTTTTCAAATTGCTTATAAAGGCTTTCATATACCTCGTTTTTTAAAAGAATCTCTTCAGTCTCTCTTAAAAAATGATCAGCGTCTTGTAGAGTGTGAGTTTGGTCTGGCGAGAGGTGGCCTTGTTTCTTAACCGCTTACTAAGACCATAGTAGCATCTGTCTGTTGGCCAACGCTATTCTCCTCCGAATTTCAAACCTGATTATGTCATTAGCTTTATTTATGGCGGTAACAAGGCATATAAATCTTTGACTACATCGAAGCTGTAGTTCTCAAGTTCCACAGTTTATCTGAGTCTACTGGACGTCTTGCTCGTTGATACCATCTGCTTGGTTCAAAGGTACCGGTAAGGTAAAATTACCGGCGTAGGAAAGTAACATGTGCTTTTTGGTGTGCAGATCTTTTCCAGCTGGATGTTAAAAAGATTACATGATAAACTGTCACTTTGTCCGAATCCTCGTTCGGCATTGAAGGGAGAGGTCCTTTCCGACTTTAACTGCTGATCTTGTGCCTCGCTCAAAGTTATACTACATAGCCGTATTAATTTTGCAGGAATGCCGAACACAGACATGGCTTTAAAAACTTCTGAGCGGATTATGCTGTTGAATGCGGCTTTAAAGTCGACGAATAGGTGTAATGTGTCTAAGTATTTGGTGCAGAGTGAAAATCTGGACAATGGTGGATTTGCCAGGCCTGAAGCCGCATTGGTATGGTCCAATAATGCATTGGCTTCGGTCATCCAAACACCGCGCTGGATAGCACTTTAAATGCGATGAGGAGGAGACTTAATCCTCTATAGTTGCCACATATCTTGTCTTGTCTCCTTTTTTTGTGCACGAGACACAAAACTTTAACATTTCGCTTCTATCAATGAGGAATCCTCTAGCAGAGTCATTGCTAGGTGTTTCGAGCTCTCAGGACATTACTATAGTTTGTCCATCGTTCCTTCCGTATTCCGTATTCATCCTGGTTAATTTTGAGAAACCCGTCGATTTCGTGGAGCCCGATCAGCGTACATTCATGAATTATAATAAAGCCAATTGGCACGGCAAAATTTATTGAGGCCTTCTTAAGTTCTATGCCGCCCCTCGCATGTTCCAGAAAGGGCGAGAAAATATTCCGTGAAATTATTCTAAAAGCGTCAAAACGCTTCATTTCTGTGGCATGTTATCGGCCGTGTAATCCCAACCATCACAGTGATGGATGATCCACCTCCGCCATATATCCGTCAGGAGTTCAGGCGCTATCGTCCATTCAATTGGACGTTAAATGATCGTCGATAGCGAACGCGATGAAATCTATGCATCAACAGAGGGTCTGACTATTTTTAGTAAAGCTATCGAAGCTATAGATATGGATATTTGTAGACGTGCTATCTCATCTATTTCAAACACTATTTTCTTACGGGCTATCTGTATTATAAATGTAGATTCCAAAATCAGTTTTTGAAGTGAAGTTTTATCAGTGCTCTCTTTGAAATTTTCAAGGAATTATTTGAAGTTCTATCAGAGCCACGAAATTGGATTTTTGAAGGCCTTGGAATTTTAATTTGATTTGGAAGGTTATACGATCTGCGAATATTTGTTGACGATTTTATTTATCGTATTTTTCAAGAAATTAGTCTGAATTTTTGAACGAAATTTTTATATTGCTATCTGAGTTATAAGAGTGGACTGTTTCTTTGCTAAAAGTGTGGATTTTAATGGCTATTTTGTGGATTATCTGAGCAAAAAAAACTAAAATATAATTCTTCACAATTCGAACAAACCAAAAACTAACACCTTGACCATAAATTGTAGTCATGAACTTTTGTCTACACCAACATTTTTTTGTTGGAAACAAACAGAGCGTATCGCACAAAATACCGATTATTCAATACCACATCATCATGAGGTTCAATTCCAAACCAAAAAAGGTTTGTTAAAATTTGAAGGTTAAAAAACACAGAAGTACATGGTAATGGCACCAGGGATTATTTCGTATTTCTTTTCACACATCATTTCCATTTCGAGTCAACCAAAAAATAACAAACAGAGACATGTAATGGAAACCAGAGAGAAAAAAACTTAATCAGGTGTACAAATTATGTATGACTGAGAAGAAGAAGAAAAAAGTGCAAAAATAGTTTTGAGATGACCTTTTTTCGCTGATAACAGAATCTACACAAAAATTGTCGATTAGTGGCATAATAAAAAAAAATAATTTGCAAACTTTGTAAATTACATGTGAATGTTTCAAGGCGGATTAGGGTTATAAGCAATGATTTGTTATTTATAAATCATTATGTAAGAATTTTGAATTTTTATAAAGCTATAGGCGTGGATTTTTAAAAGACAATTTTTCCACGGATAACTCAGCTATAGGTGAGGATTTTTAAAAGACAATTTTTCCACGGAAAATTTTTCTATAGGCGTGAATTTTTAAAAGACAATTATTGCAGGAAGATCTCAGCTATAGGCGTGGATTTTTAAAAGACAATTTTTCCATGGATATCTCAGCTATAGGCGTGGATTTTTAAAAGACAATTTTTCCATGGATATCTCAGCTATAGGCGTGGATTTTTAAAAGACAATTTTTCCATGGATATCTCAGCTATAGGCGTGGATTTTTAAAAGACAATTTTTCCATGGATATCTCAGCTATAGGCGTGGATTTTTAAAAGACAATTTTTCCATGGATATCTCAGCTATAGGCGTGGATTTTTAAAAGACAATTTTTCCATGGATATCTCAGCTATAGGCGTGGATTTTTAAAAGACAATTTTTTTCAAGGGTCACCACAAGGCGTGGATTTTTAAAAGACAGTTTTTTCAAGGGTCACCTCAAGGCGAGGATTTTTTAAAGACTATTTTTTCGAGGGTCACCACAAGGCGTGGATTTTTAAAAGACAATTTTCCACGGATAACTCAGCTATAGGCGTGGATTTTTAAAAGAAAATTTTTTTTCCAGCTATAGGCGTATTTTTAAAAGACAATTTTTCCATGGCTATAGGCGTGGATTTTTAAAAGACAATTTTTCCACGGATATCTCAGCTTTATGCGTGGATTTTTAAAATACATTTTTTCTAGGGATATCTCAGATATATGCGTGGATTTTTAAAAGACAATTTTTCCACGGATATCTCAGCTATATGCGTGGATTTTTAAAAGACAATTTTTGGAGGACTTTGTGTTTGTATTTTTTATTTTTGAAGTGCTATACAATGTGATATTTTTTTATCTTTCCAACCGTTTTTAAATCCATAATTTATTACGTTTATCTTAATATTTTACAATGCCTTTGTTTATATTAATTATTTATCTTACTCATATACATATATATTAATTTTTTGTATTTGCTTCTAGACTACATCATCCCAGTGGTGTCATACACGATGGCTGGGGTAATTATTCCGTCAGTGTTAAATGCAGTTGGCTGATCGATGCCAGACCCCAGCATACAACAAATCATACACATGGTGGCAAACAAGTGTCGTCGCTGTCATCGCCACCGCCCACCATTCGTATGCATTTGCGAGAATTTGCAACGGAATGTGGCTGGGACCATTTGTATATATACGATGGCGATAGTGTTGATTCTTCGCTATTGGCAGTTTTTAGGTAAGTGAACTGAAATATATTTATTCAGATAATGATATTAATGTTATCTTGTTCTTCTTCTTCTATTTTGCTGTTTACAGTGGCCTCATGTATCGTGGCAATTTCTCCATACGTAGTGTACCCCAAGTTATAGCACGTTCAGGTGCCGCATTATTGCATTTCTTTAGCGATGATGCCTATAATATGTCTGGCTTTAATTTATCATATCGCATGAATGCCTGTCCCAGTGATTCGGAAGATGTTGAATGTTCAGGTCATGGCATGTGCAGTAATGGTTATTGTATATGTGATCCGTTGTATAGTGGTGATGCATGTAATATTGCCGCATGTCCGAATAATTGTTATGAGAAAGAGGGTCATGGTGTGTGTAATATAGAAAAGGAGAGGTGAGTATATAACGATTTTTTCGGGGGATATCTTCACTATAGGCGTGGATTATTAAATGACAATTTTTCGAGGGATATCTTCACTATAGCCGTGGATTTTTAAATGACAATTTTTCGAGGGATATCTTCATTACAGGCGTGGATTTTTAATAGAAAATTTTTCGAGGGAAATCTCCACTACAGGCGTGGATTTTTAAAAGACAATTTTTCGAGGGATATCTCCACTACAGGCGTGGATTTTTAATAGACAATTTTTCGAGAGATATCTCCACTACAGGCGTGGATTTTTAATAGACAATTTTTCGGCGTGGATTTTTAAAAGACAATTTTTCGAGGGAAATCTCCACTACAGGCGTGGATTTTTAAAAGACAATTTTTCGAGGGATATCTCCACTACAGGCATATCGACTATAGGATTGCATTTTTAAAGGACAAATTTTCGAGGGATATCTCTACTACAGGCGTGGATTTTTAAAAGACAATTTTTCGAGGGACATATCGACTATAGGATTGCATTTTTAAAAGACAATTTTTCGAGGGATATCTCTACTATAGGCGTGGATTTTTAAAAGACAATTTTTCGAGAGAAATATCGACTATAGGATTAGATTCTTAAAATACTCTTTTTTGAGGGACATATCGACTATAGGATTGGATTTTTAAAATACTCTCTTTCGGGGGACATATCGACTATAGGCGTGGATTTTGAACCATTTTTCGAGGGACATATTGACTATAGGCGTGGATTTTTAATATACCAGTTTTCGAGACATATCTTGACTATATGCGTGGATAGGCGCTTATTTTTAATATACCAGTTTTCGAGACATATCTTGACTATATGCGTGGATAGGCGTCGATTTTTAAAGAACCATTTTTCGAGGTATTTTTGAGCGATAGTCGTGGATTTTTAATAGACATTTTTGGAGGTATTTTTGAGCGATAGGCGTAGATTTTAAAATATTTTCTCTATAGTATTATTTTTTTATTAAAGCCTTTTCTTTTTCTATTTCCGTCCATATTCTAGGTGCATTTGTAAGAAAGAGTATGGCGGCAACGATTGCGGTCAGCTGCGATCCCATGGCATATGGGCAAGCGTAAATGCCCAACTTCCACCCAATGGTACAGCTTCACATGCCGCAGCCGTTTGGCATGATACAATGTATATAATATCCGGCGAATCGTACGGTCGTGGTCGTCTAATGACTGCCTACGATTTCAATAGAGAGATTTGGGAGGCGGTACATCCGGCCAAGGGCACTATGATACCGGCCCAACGTTATGGCATGTCCACTGTGGTACATGGTGATAAAATCTATATGTATGGCGGAGTGGTCAAAGGCACCGGAATTACCAATGAATTGTGGGCCTTTGATATGTCGGCCAAAACATGGGAAAATATTACCGTAATAACAGATGAAGCCTGTCCCGGCCCCACAGCGTACTCAATGTGTGGCCCCTTACATGTGACAGGGCATTCAGCCACCTTGGTGCCTAGTTATGGTGATAAACATGGTCATCGTTATATGATCGTAATATTTGGTCGTTCGCCACAATATGGCTATTTGAATACGGTACAGGAGTACAATTTCAATACCCGCGAATGGAAAATTATCGAAACATCAGGTTATGTAGTGAAGGGTGGTTTCAGCCACAGTGCTGCCTATGATCCGCTGACGGAGAAAGTATATGTTTATGGTGGTATTGTTTCCGAATCGGAGGCCAATCAATATATAACACCACGTTTGTATGCCTATTCACCGTCATCGCGTATATGGACCCTACTGTCGTCGGCACCCAGTGCTCGTCTGCTGCATACAGCGAATTTTGTAAACGAAGGTTTGATGATGGTGTTCGGTGGTAACACACACAACGATACGGCTGAGAGTTATGGAGCCAAGTGTTACAGTCAGGATCTGTTGGTCTATGATGTCATCTGTGATTCGTGGCATAAACAAACCATACCAGCACATTTACAGGCCGATTTGGCGAGGTAAGGCTAAATAGATTTTTTTTTTAATTTCCATTTTTTAATAACCCATATTTTTATCCCCCTGCCCCCTTTTAGATTTGGACACAGTTCAGTGGTTTTCGATGGCAGTCTCTACATTTATGGCGGCTTCAATGGCCAACTTTTGAATGACATGTTACGCTTCACACCCGGCCACTGTGAAATCCACACAAAAGAGGAGAAGTGCAGCAGTGCCCGTCCGGGCGTCAAATGTATCTGGGATGTCCAAATGAGCAAGTGCTTGCAAATTAATCATGTCCAGAAATCGGCTATATTCGGCCGGGAACAATACGACTATGTGGCCTGCCCCTCAAAAGGTCGCTTCGCCATGACCTCACAACTGTTGTTAGACGTCGCCCGTTGCCAGGAACTTAACAATTGCCAATCGTGCGTCTCGAATTCCTATGGCTGTACCTATTGCGGCAATGGCGTCTGCAGCAAGGAACGCTGCCGCGAAACCACTCCCATGACCGCCGTCTTCTATGAAACCTCAAAGGAACATCAACAACAGCAGAGCCAGCAATCGAAATCCCAGTTTGTGGTGGCCACCCCTGCACCGCCCCTTAATATCAAACACTTGGACAATTGTCCAAAATCGGAAGATTTTCGCTCTGCGGCCATTTGTGAACAGCTGCACACCTGCCATGCCTGCGCGGCCAACAGCAACTGTATGTGGGAAGCCGAGCACAATCGCTGTCGTCATTGGGCAAATGGTGTGGGACCGCTGGGCAATCGTACCGTGGACGACATCATCTGTCCGCCCTCGTGTGCCTCCCTCACCAATTGCCACAATTGCACGGAAAACGACTGTATTTGGTGTCAGAACGAGTTGCGTTGCGTCGACCGAAATTCGTACACGGCCAGTTTTCCCTATGGCCAGTGCCGAGAGTGGACCACGCATGTTTACAAGTGTCGCAGTGCTCCGACAACAGCGCTGACGGCGCTGAGCAGCAACAGCACAGCCACCTATATATCGACGGCTCAATGCGGTTTCTACAACAGTTGTTCCCAGTGTTTGGATGATCCGGCCTGTGGTTGGTGTGACGATGGCACCAACACGGGCCTGGGCAAATGCATAGAAGGTGGTGCTCTGATGGCCCACGAACCGGAACAATGTCCTGCTGGCCAGTGGTACTTCACCTCTTGCCCGCTCTGTAACTGCAATGGCCATTCGAAGTGTGAAAAGGGCTCCAGCCAATGCATCCAACCCTGCTCGGATCTCACTTATGGCCAGCACTGTGAAAAATGTACCCGTGGTTATTGGGGAAATCCCATCAATGGTGGCCAGTGTCAGAGATGTGAATGCAACAAACAGGGGGACCTATGTAACCCGGACAATGGCAAATGTTTTTGCAACACCAAAGGCATTGTGGGCGATCACTGTGAGAAGTGCGATTCGCAGAATCATTATCACGGTGATCCCATTGCCTCGACCTGTTTCTATGAACTAACCATTGATTATCAGTTTACATTTAATCTGTCTAAAAAAGAGGATCGTCACTTTCAGAAGATCAATTTTCGTAATTCACCCGTCAAGCCGGAGATTGATGCCGATTTCACAATAACCTGTAGTGTACCGGCCAAGATGAATATTACGGTGAAGAGGGCGGGAGCGCCCATTAATGAAATATTTTCGGGCATAAATTGTTCGACGTTTCGTCATCGTTTCCCCAAGACGGAATTTAATTTTGGCCATTCACCCGAAGACAATAGTTCGTTGACGACCTTTTATGTTTCTGTGTATGACTTCCAGCCACCCATATGGATACAGATAGCGTTTTCACAATATCCGAAATTGAATTTACAACAATTCTTTATAACATTTTCCACATGTTTCCTATTGCTGCTACTGATGGCTGCCATTTTGTGGAAAATTAAACAGAAATATGATATGTTTAGGAGGCGGCAGCGGTTGTTTGTTGAAATGGAACAGATGGCGAGTCGACCGTTTTCACAGGTGAGGGGACATTTTAAAAAACTGTTTTTGTGATTTTTGTAAGGTGTGGATTTTTTTTTAAATATTTATTTTTAATTTTTATTAGACGTATTTTTTTTTTTTTATATTTTTATTATTTGACGAAATTTGGAGCGTAATTTAGTTCTGGAAAAATCGGAAAATTTAGATTTAGATATAGCTCCCATATATATATTTTCGTCCGATTTAATGTAAATGGTGCACCAAAGTCCCTATATAACTTTCGATTTGCACGAAATTTGGCACAGCGTAATGAATTAGGTCTAGAATGATGTGTGTTAAGTTTCGTGAAAATCGGTTCAGATTTAGATATAGCTCCCATATATATTTTGGTCCGATTTAATGTAAATGGTGCACCAAAGTCCCTATATATCTTTCGATTTGCACGAAATTTGGAACAGCGTATTGAATTAGGTCCAGAATGATGTGCGTTAAGTTTCGTGAAAATCGGTGGAGATTAAGATATAGCTCCCATATATATTTTCGTCCGATTTAAGGTAAATGGTGCACCAAAGTCCCTATATGTCTTTCGATTTGCACGAAATTTGGCATAGCGTAATGAATTAGGCCTAGCATGATGTGTGTTAAGTTTCCTGAAAAATTAGTATCGGTTTCAGAATGTCATGTTTATGGATCCAATTTCATTTTACTGGTCATTTAAAAATGCCACGTCTGTTAGGTTCACCTGTTGAATATACCCAAAGTGGCGAAGGGTATCCTATAGTCGGTCCCGTCCGACTTTACTGCTTTCCTTACTGGTTTAAAAAATAATTTTTATAAAATTGTGAAGGCGTGGATTTAAAAAAATAATTTTTATAATTTTTTTTTATTAATTTTTATATTTTTTGTTTAATTAATTTTTAAATTTATTCCACTTTTAGGTGCTAGTGGAAATTGAAAGCCGGGAAAATATTGACCTATCCCTGACCATGGAGGGTATTGCCAATATGAGTAAAAAACGTAAAAAGGTATTCAAAAATTGATAAAATCAAAAACATAAAACCTAAGCTAATTATTTTGTGTTTTTAATTTAGGATTGTCCGAGCCCCATAGCCTTAGAACCTTGCAGTGGAAATCGTGCTGCGGTATTGTCACTTCTAGTCCGTTTACCCACAGGTAAGACAAAAGAATTTAATTGATTCTATTTCCCTTTTTAATTAAAATATCGTTTTTAGGTGGTCTCCAACATGCACCACCTGGTCAATCAGCTGGCCTGGCTGTGGCCAGTGCATTAGTAACACTTGGCAATCCTAGACGTCCATCAATCGATCATACAAAAGAGCCAAAATCTAAGCGTAAACAAAGTCAGCACCCTGATAGTTGTACATAATAATAATAAAAATAAAAACAAACACAAGCAAACGATGAAGATGTTGAAGGTGATTTAGGTGTGAACATAAATTAGGGCGTATACATAAATGTATGTGTTTATTTTTTTAAATAAGAAAACAACAACAAAAGCAGTTTTTATTATAATTATTTTTTTTAATTTATAATTATTATGATCATGATGATTTTATTTATTTAGACTATAAATTGTAACTTATTTTTGTTAATACTATCTACTGAATAATTATATAATGATAATGATAAATAATAATAATACTTGTACTAAAGAAGACATTATGTATTAAGGTGATACCGACAAACAACAGCAACAAAAAAGCAAATTCCCAGAAGAAAACGAAATAAAAAAACATTTTTTGTCATATTTAAAAAATATACAAAACAAACAAAAAAATTTAAAAAAAGAAGTGAAACAAAAGACAGAACAAAAAACAACAACAACATATACAGTTACAAAACAAAATAAATTCATAATTATTATTATTACTTTGAGATTAAGACACACCATTAATAAATTATAATTATTATTATTACTATATATATTTAAATTAAAACAACAACAACAACAAAAAGAAGATGAAGAAATGCATAGAATGTAAATCCTTAAATGAACAGAAATGCAAACAAAAGCAAAACAAAAAATTATAAACAAATAAACTTAAAATGATTCCAAAACAAAAAAAACAATTCAAAATAAAAAAAAAAAATTAAAAAAAAAACAAACAAGTATGTGTTTAATTTTTAATTGCAATATAAATAAATTAAGAAAATAATTTTTATATTTTATAAAAAAAAACAGTAAGGAAAGTAGTAAAGTCGGACGGGCCCTTCACCACTTTGGGTAAATTCAACAGATGAATCCTAACAGACGTCGAATTTTTGAAGGACCATTAACATGAAAATGGATCCATAAACATGTCATTATGCAACCGATACTAAATTTTTTATTTGGTCAGATATGGAAGCTATATCTAAATCTGAACCGATTTTCAGGAAACTTAACACACATCATTCTAGACCTAATTCATTACACTGTAGCAAATTTCGTGCAAATCTAAAGATATATAGGGACTTTGTTGCACCATTTACATAAAATCGGACGAAAATATATATGGGAGCTATATCTAAATCTGAACCGATTTTCAGGAAACTTAACACACATCATTCTAGACTTAATTCATTACACTGTGCAAAATTTCGTGCAAATCGAATGATATATAGGTAATTTGTTGGACCATTTACATTAAATCGGACGAAAATATATAAGGGAGCTATATCTAAATCTCAACCGATTTTCAGGAAACTTAACACATATCATTCTAGACTCAATTCATCACGCTGTGCCAAATTTCGTGCAAATCGAAGAATATATAGGACCGTTGGTGCACTTTTTACATTAAATCGGACGAAACTATAAATGGGTGCTATATCTAAAACTGAACCGATTTTCAGGAAACTTAACACACTTCATTCTGGACCTAATTCATTAGGCTGTGCCAAATTTCATGCAAATCGAAAGATATTAAGGGACATTGGTGCATCATTTACATAAAATCGGACGAATATATGTATAAGAGTTATATCTAAATCTGAACCGATTTTCAGGAAACTTAACACACATCATTCTAGGCCTAATTCATTGCGCTGTACCAAATTTCGTGCAAATCGAAAGATATATAGGGACTTTGGTGCACCATTTACATTAAATCGGACGAAAATATGTATGGGAACTATATCTAAATATTAAAAAAATATTTTTATAAAATTTTCATGGCTTGGATTTTTTAAAAAATAATTTTTATAAAATTTTCAAGGCGTGGATTTTTTAAAAAATAATTTTTATAAAATTTTCAAAAATAATTTTTATAAAATTTTCAAGACGTGGATTTTTTAAAAAATAATTTTTATAGAATTTTCAAGACGTGGATTTTTTAAAAAATAATTTTTATAAAATTTTTAAGGCGTGGATTTTTTAAAAAATAATTTTTATAAAATTTTCAAGACGTGGATTTTTTAAAAAATAATTTTTATAAAATTTTCAAGGCGTGAATTTTTTAAAAGTTATTTTTATAAAATTTTCAAGGCGTGGATTTTTTAAAAAATAATTTTTATAAAATTTTCAAGGCGTGGATTTTTTAAAAAATAATTTTTATAAAATTTTCAAGACGTGGATTTTTTAAAAAATAATTTTTATAAAATTTTCAAGGCGTGAATTTTTTAAAAAATAATTTTTATAAAATTTTCAAGGCGTGAATTTTTTAAAAAATAATTTTTATAAAATTTTCAAGACGTGGATTTTTTAAAAAATAATTTTTATAAAATTTTCAAGACGTGGATTTTTTAAAAAATAATTTTTATAAAATTTTCAAGACTTAAAAACTAATTCTTACAATTGTTTTTTTTTTTTTTAAATTTCCTGTAAGTCATGATTTGTTTTTATAACCCATTTTATTTTAGTTGTTTTTTCGGTATTTAAAAGTTGACAAGTTCCGCATTCATTTCATTTTTGTTTTTCGAAAAACGAAATCATTATTATTGATCACCAATATTTTTTTAGATGAAGCAACAACAATAACAAATCTATGGAAATCACACATACACACACTCCGCATTACAAGCTATGCTGCTGCTGGAAATATCTGCAGCTGGCAATAATGATGCCATTGCTGTGGGCCAAAATATGAGCAATAGACACATCAATGCTTCAGTGAAGGAATGAATGGATGGAGATATTCGTGCTTACATACATACATCCAACCATACATCAATAAAATAGCCACGAAGGTGTGACACTAAATTGATTTCATAATCGTTATCATTAGCGAGCGGTTTTTTGAGTGCAGTCAGCCGCTAAGTATTTTTTCCCCTTCAGTTATTAGAATCTCAAAATCCAAAAGTCTGTCGATTTTCATTGGAATCATAACTGAGGAGGGATTTACCTATCAGTCACAGTATGTATGGCATCGTGGTAATATATTTGATAGCTAGTACTTTATTTGGAGGTTTTCGGTGACACGCAGAAGGTCATAAAGCCCAAAATACATGAATAACCACCAAAAATCAAAATACCAAAGACTGAACTTTGTGACGTCAGAATTACACTAGGCTGCAGCAAAAAAAATATTTTTTTTTTAAATCCACATTTTGAAAAATTTATTAAAATAATTTGAAAAACCTCGTCTTTGAAAATTGTATATTTTTTTAAATCCACGTCTTTGAAAAATTTTATAAAAATTACTTAGTATATAGCTGGCTTGTGACAGAACTTCCTTCCATAAGCCGAGCTTAAAAAAGATTTCCAGGCTCGTCGGTCTTGTGCGCAGTTTTTCCAGTTTGAAAGATCATATTTGGCAATATTGTCCTCCGCTTGATCTTTTCATCTTATTCGTGGTCTTCCCCTTCTGCGTGAACCATCTGCCGGTTCGTCTTTATATGCCTTTTGGGTTGGGGCATCTTCATCCATCCTCACAACATGACCTAGCCAACGTAGTCGCTGCAGCTCAATACGTCTAACAATGCCGATGTCCGAGAATAGCTGGTACAGCTCATGGTTCATTCGACGGCGATATTCATCGCCAACGCAGATCGTCAGCCTATATATCTTTCGGAACATTTTTCTCTCAAACACTCCAAGAGCTGTCTCATCTGGTTGCGTAAGTACCCATGCTTCAGATCCATGTAATAGCACGGGTAGTATCAGCGTCTTGTAGAGTGTGAGTTTGGTTGACCATCAATATTCTTCTCCGAATTTCAAAACTGATGTCACTCATTTTATTTATGGCGGTACCAAGGTATATAAAATCTTTGACTACCTCGAAGCTGTAGTTCTCAAGTTCCACTGTTGGTCCGAGTCTACTGGATGTATTGCGCGTTGATACCATCAGGTTGGTCTTCTCGTCGTTTACTGCCAGACCCACTTTGGCAGACTATTTCTCAATTTGTTCAAAGGTGGCTGTTACCGCTCTCAATGTTCGACCCATTATGTCGATGTCATCGGCATAGGCGAGTAACTGGTGTTGTTTGGTGTACAGAGTGTCATTTCTGTTCACTTTTGCCTCTCGTATGACCTTTTCCAGAAGATGTTAAAAAGGTCACACGACAAACTGTCACCTTGTCTGAATCATCGTTCGGTTTTAAAGGTCTCCGAGAGGTCCTTTCCGACTTTAACTGCTGATCTTGTGCCAGTTAAAGTTATTCGAATTAATTTTGCAGGAATGCCGATCGTAAACATGGCTTTAAACACCTCTGAACGGATAGGTCTGTCGAATGCGGCTTTATAGTCGACGAATAGGTGGAATGTGTTGATGTGTTTTTCGTGGGTCTTTTCAGAGTGAAAATCTGGTCAATGGTGGACTTGCCAGGTCTGAAGCCGCATTGGCACGGCCCAATAAAGTCATTGACCATTGGCTTCAGTCGTTCATATAGTCCGCTGGTATTTTCTCATTTTTTGTGCACGGGACACAGGATGCTGAGTTTCCAATCATTGGACATGCATTCCTCTAGCCAAATTGACCAGCATCTGATCACCAGTCTTGAATAGTTCGGCTTGTAAACCATCGGCACCTGCTGATTTATTATTCTTCAGCCGATTGATTGCTATTCTGACCTAGGTGGTATACACTCTATACCATCATCTCTTATTGGTTCTGGGGTATCCTCTTCACCGCTACTATTTGATACCAGAAGTTTTTCAAAATGCTCCCTCCAGATCCTCAGCACGCTGTCTGTATCTGTCACCAGGCTCCTTCTTTATCTCTACAGGATGATGTGCCTGCACCAAAGCCTTCGGTTTGGGGTTTTACCCGTTGGTAGAATTTTCGGACTTCATTCTGACTCCCGTACATCTCGATTTGCTCACGCACACGTTTTTCTTGTTCTTTCTTCTATTTTCTGAAAACGTTTCTCCTCTCTCCTTTTTCTCCCGATAATTTTCCTTCGCATTACGTGTTGCTATTGCCTGCAGGGTTGCCCTATACGCTGCGTTTTTCACATCAGTAGCATTACGACACTCCTGA